GACAAAAAAATCTAGATATTTGCAAGTGTATATTGATACCTATGCAAAACCAATCAAGCTGGTATAGTATGAATGCCACAGTCAGATAAGCCCTCCTGTCTCATCACCACCAGCTCAGGATGAGATGAAGCTGCTGTGAGTTGAGGTTGGGGGTTCAAGCCCCGAGCTGCTTTTTTTGCACTGCAGTTGGCTGCTGCTCAGCCACTGTCAAGAGCTGTCAAGCCGCCGCAAACCAGCCCTGCAACCGCGCGCAAGCCAACGTTGCAGGGTCAAGCCAACCACGGGGATTTATGCCCCCCGCTATGAAGCACCCCCAATCTTTCGTCGGGGCGGTACGGGTCAAGCCAACGGAATTCTTTCCGTCGAGCATCTGTCCACCAGAGCCTGTGGTGTAGCAAGGGGGGGTGGAGGTGTAACCATGATGTATCACCAAGAGTGTGGTGGAGCTGTTGGCATGAAACATGGCAACTACCACCCAACTAACCTTACAACCACAACGGTCTGTAGCCTAGTTGGTAAAGGAAGCACTCTGGTATGTGACTCAGCATTGCTGAGGTTTTGAGTTCAAATCTCACCAGGCACATCCTCTGTTTGTGTTTGTCTCTACATCTTGTGCTGTTCATTTTCTGCGGGATTGTGTGTGATCATAGGACATTGAAAATCGTCACTATGGACCTCGGCCGTATCAGTTATATGTACAGTTCACACAACTTGTCTAATGAAAACAGAAAGCAGAGGAAGAGGGTTCAAGAGCATAAATTCTCACTTGACATGTCAATTTCTCTAATTGATGATTTAAACTACACTACATGTGTAGTGTAACTTCTACCGTAGCATAGCGTAACTAGGCATGTAGTGTAGTGTAGCGTAGCTTAATTAGGTATAACTTACACTAAATTTTAGCTACAAATCAGTTACACTATCTGATGGTCAAAATTTTGTTAGCACAAAAAAAATTGCAGTAACTGTTAGTTTAGCTGAGATTATTTGAAGCTAACACTACCAAAAAATTTGAGAGAAAAATTTACACTACACTAACAGTTAGACGTAGTGGGGTTTGGAGTCAGCTAACACTACAGAATTTCCAGAAATAAAAAGGCCACTACACTAACAGTTAGTGGTCAAATAGCGTAGTGTAGCGTAGCGGCCCGCTGTTGGCAGTCATGTTGCAACAGATTGATGCAAAACCTCCATACCATATGTTTGCAATTTCCGCTGCTGATGAGTTGAATATCCAAGAACCGTCCTTCTTCAACTGAGGGTAAAGATTTGGACCGGTCCATTTCCTACAAAAGCAGTCATCCTCTTTGTGTGACTTGAAATGGAACGCATCCACTGCAACTATGCTTTCAGTGAATCAATCTCGTTCATCTGCGGGTGACTTGTATATATGTGCTAATAATTTGCATGCATTGTAGTACAAAATTACTTGGGGCATGCTTGTTGGAAATGTATCTAGAAGGAAAAGCTGAGCATAAAAGCCCTTGTCAGGCACTGGCACCTCAACATTGAAGTAAAGACAAATTCACTTTAACTGCACTAGGTGACTCAGAGTTGAACATTGTTTGTTGGGCAAGTATGACACCGCAAGGAGCAACCGCAAGTTGATTGTTGTGAGTTCCCGCTCTGGAAAGTGTAGGTTTTTTGAAGCTCCTTCTTCCCCTGATCTCCAACTTTCCTCAGCTTGACCCAATTCATCCGCTTGCTGCGACAAATCCAAATCTTCAATTTCCCCTGACTCCTCTTCCAGATGGACAGTTGGATCCAAGTTTAGGTTGGAGCCAGGTTGATTTAACATTGAGTGAAGTTGGAAATTGGATTTGACTTGAGCACCAAAGGTTTTTTCAGCATCTAGGTGAGATTGACGGCCACAGGTCTTCTTATTTGAAAGAGTGGGTTGGATGCAGGGCTGTGCCTGGCAGATACCTTCAAGAAAAGGCTGATGAAAACTACAATATTGATTTCGAACTGTATCTAATGTTCTTTGACAAGGGCCATCAGGTGCTGGGTGGCCCAATTTTTTGGCCAAGCATTCCAGCTGTGCTGCTGAAGCCCTGCATCTCCAGTGGTCAATGGTCAAACCATCTGTCACCACCGCACAAACCACTAGAGTGAGAAAAATGTATCAACTTCTTTGCTAACAAGTTCAAGTTATGTGCAAACTTGAAGGTTAAATTACCTGAGTGATTGTTGTTCTCCTCTGAATATGTGATACATGTACAAAGACCACATGAATGATTCTTGTGAGCAGTTCCCTCTGCTGCTATCCAAGATGAACATTGCTTCTTAGCTTCATTGTAACGAAATCGGTCGAGTCCGGAAGATGGAACCATGAGGACTTTATCCCTTGGAGCGTAATTAAATATCAATGTATCAATGTCCATACCATCTTTGCAGACTTCTACAGACAAGCGAGGAAAGAAGGACTGCTGGGGGGTGAACATGGGAGGGGTGTGATACCCCATGAATGTTGAGTTGTATAAATTGGCAATGCTGAATACTGAACACCTATGGCACACAAGAAAAACCAAAATGAGTTATTGAGAATTGGATTAGACACATATATAACATTACCGTTGTAGCATTTGGCTCATCTTGAAGTGATGCACCAATTGGTGAGTCATAAAAAAGTGTGTATGAACTTGAAATAGTGTGGGGTTCCTTCCTTGAGAAGTTGTATAGAAAGTCCTTTGTTCTTTGTGGCTCGAGTAGCTCACATGATAACTGGTAAGGCAAGCTAACACAAATAGAATATTATAAAGCAGTCAGTTCTTGTCCACCTCAGGTTGAATTAAAAATGCTTACGTTGACAGTAGAGAGAGAAGTGCTCAATGGTGTGACAACCATCAACATCATATAGGTATCCAAACAATGAGCTTGGCCTCAAAGGTCGTTCCTTGGAGCACTTTTTGCAGTGTTCAACTGGGGGAAACAGTGATTGATGGACAATGCGGGTGGGGATTCGACCATCACCCAGTTCAGCCATTATCCCATTTGAGTTGATCTGATGTTGGGTGTTGATGCAGCAATCTTTCAGTATGTGGAATGAAGCATCCCAGAAAACCTCCAAAAAGCGGTGGATGGATGATGGCAGACTGGCTGCAAGAAATTGTATAGGCCTTCAATGTTTAGTCATCTGAAGCAATTTCTCAGAACGCACTACCACATTGGCGGCGACACAGAGAAACTTCACCATGTCTTGAACGGTGAGCAATGCCATTATGTTCGCATCATGGGCCTCCAGGATCGTCACGAATGTGTTTAACAATATTGAAGAAGGATCGGAATTGTTAGTGGTGTTTATTTGAAGGCTCGGAATAGTTAGTCTTGCTTATTTGAGGGCTCAGAATAGTTGTGCTTATTTTCTCAACAATCCTTAATTATTATAACATATAATGTGTAGCTTCCACCGAGTAGTATGATGACACTTGACCAACCCCAGCCCACTGATGAAACCAGTCCAAAAAGGTCCATCCCAATCCGGATGGACCTGTTGGTCTGGACTCTGTACAGCTCTGTACCGCTCAGTACAAAATTCCGCACTTACCAGATCTGCGCGGAAAATTTTCTGCACTTCGCCCAGGCTCCGATTCTCTGATAAAACCCGACTGAGAAAATGAAAATATGGGATTAGCAAATTCAAATTCCAAGGATTACCAAAAATTCAAAGCAACCATCCAAGCTTTCTTGGAAACACAATAGGACATCTCCACCACCGGTTGCCAT